ACTACCATCTTCCATCTACCGCCATCTAATAGCTCAGATCACATATTATAGAAGCCTACCAAGAAATGACTGGGATTGCTCAGTTGAGGAAAAACACGTTTGTGAAGCAGCTTCCAAATTACTGACCTGAAGTCTTCCTCAGGTGACTATTTTCTAAAAGAAATATGTTCTATGCCTAAACATAATAGGCATAATAGATTCCATACCTATGTTCCTAATAGGCTGCAATAACTATAGACATTATTCTGTATAGTTGTTTATAGACAGTTGGTATCTCTTCTATCAGCTCTAGCTCAATGAAATTGTACCTAGGACAGTTCTAGCACTACATACTATGATGCATTTATGCTGCCTGACTAAATTCCAGAAGGAATTTAGTCAGGCAGCATAAATGCATCAAAGTATGTAGTGCAAGAACTGTCCTAGGTACAATAGCAAAATTACTGAAATAATAGACTGTATGATTGGAAGCAAATGCTCTTGTGATTAAAAAACGAGCAACAATCATACTGACAAATGATTATCAGAAACAGCAGTCTATCAGCAGATTGCAAGCACCATGAAACAATCCAAAGGACTTTTCAGGTCCTTTGACAAGTTCATAAGAAAATACAAATGACAAAAGTTAAATCCAATTGTAACAGCAGTTCCTTCCCTTGTTCCACTCCTTGCAGACCTCTGCACTATTTGAAAACTGACTTGAAAAGGTTCCTCAATTTTCCTGAGCAATTTTATGGGATGCATAGGAGGGAAGGGGTATGCTGAATGTCACTATTGTGCCAGAAATAGTCCACTGTTGGATCCTGACCAATGCTACAACGAAAGCCATTCCTACACCAGGTGACACCCTCTGGCTTCAGTGCAGAAACATATATATATATATAGCAGTTCTGGATGGAACTGGAAAAGCCAGCATCAAAGCCTTTAAGGATCAATGACAGCTTATAATAATGGTCTTCCCTGCACATTAATAATTTTCACACCAAATCCAATCTGACATTTTTAAGCAAGCATGAAGCATGCAGGGGCAACTCAACTCCAGCTTTTTTGAGATGATGAATCCAATCTAGATTCAAGGCTGCTTCGGTTACCTTTCTGTTCAAGGAGACACACAGCAACAGAGCAACTCCACTGATTTCTCTGGATCCCCCAGTGCTGTATGATATACTTATTTACAGGTCAATGAGTCAGTTTGCCTGTTATAGCTTAGGACCTTCTTCCCACATTGGTTCTTGACAGTGGTACTGGAGGACGCAGCCTCTTGTACCATCTGCTCCCTTTTCACATCTTTTTCACCTTGGAGATGGAGAATAGGATCCTTTTTAACTTTATAGCTGCAGTGATACTTTTGTGCATTAGACCCCCCCCCCCTCAGAAATCTTGCAGGAAATCTTACGGGACTTTTCAAATGTTTTGTAGTTGTTTTTTTCTGGAAAGAATGCCTATCCGTGCAGAATAGTTGCAACCTCTCTGCAGAACGGCACTTTGCCTTTGCAGACAATGGTATCAAGCATTGATGCAAAATTTGGCAGTGTCCCATGCAGAAGAGCAGATGAAAAACATAGAACAAAATAAAGGAGAAAAAAGTCCAGATCTTCATTGTTATAGGAAGCTGGGAGATCTCTCTGGTGCACAGTGATGTCTCATCAGGGAACCTTGCCATGGAGAGACTCAGAACATTGATGAGAACAAGAAATGTTTAATTAGTTTTCATATCTCTAAAATGTACTGCAGAAATCAAAGAGCTGGTCCTCAGTGTGCTTGAGATGAGGTTGCACTCTTCCCTCCCCCACCATCATATTTGTACTTTATCAGTGCTCCAAGGTCTACCCATACTTCTGAATGATTAGGTAGTGTCAGTGTCCAGGTTTTTACAAATTTTGGCTTGTGTGCAAGTTATATCCTTTTTTTTTTTTTTTTTGACTACCACTGTCATTTATGCCCCGGTTATTACAATGTTCTTTATTTGGAGCTGCCTTTGAAGACAGTTAGAAGCAAAATGTCACTGTGAGATGCTTCCTGCACCTGGCAGACAGCAGCATGTAATTGATACTATGCCATAAGGATTGCCAATGAACTTCTAAGATAAATAGGAATTAAGGCATCTAAATTACCAAGCCCTAAATGACAGGATACTAAAGTGTCTGAAGAATAACCTGAACTCAAATAAATCTATTCAAACTTATAAACTGTAGTTAATTTCAAAGGCAATGTTTGTTTATATTTTACCTGTCGCTGAGGTCCTGGGGCTGAGGTCCTGAGTTAGTGGCTGAGGTCCTGATCAAGAAGAGCTATACCAAGGACATGGTGGCGCTGCGGGTTAAACCACAGAAGCCTCTGTGCTGTAAGGTCTATAGATCTGCAGCTGTAAGATCGAATCCATGTGACGGAGTGAGCACCCATCGCTTGTTCCAGCTCCCGCCAACCTAGCGGTTCGAAAGCATGCAAATGCGAGTAGATAAATAGGGACCCCCTTGGTGGGAAGGTAACAGCGTTCCATGTCTGGTCGCGCTGGCCATGTGACCATGGAAAATTGTCTTCGGACAAACGCTGGCTCTACGGCTTGGAAACGGGGATGAGCACCGCCCCTTAGAGTCGAACACCACTGGACAAATTGTCAAGGGGAACCTTTACCTAACTAGCTATAATGACTGAAAACTTGCTGAGTTGACACCAGGCCAGCTGAAGCAGTGTTGATTCCAAACTCCTTTCAGCCTAGCAATGTTAAAATTATTTAGGACTGCCCTCATTCTGGCCTAATTTTCTGCAACCATAGTGGCTGAGGTCCTGAGCTAGAAGAGGTTTGAAAGTCATGATTTCACCAACACAAACAGTTCTAGCAGCAGTTCCTTCTACCAGCAGGTCTCTGAGATCAGCCTCCTCAAGGGTGTTCTGCTGGCACAGGTAAAATTGTACTGGCACAAGAAACTTCTGTTCATTCGAAACCTGCTACAGCAGGCTAATCTTTAAGTCAGGATTGCAAAGCCTAATTCTCTATTCATGTTATCCTCGTTGAGAATTATCTTGTACAGATGATCTTGAGAATTACTTTTTATCTTGTTAACTATCTTTTACAGAAAGGCAAAATAAAAATGCCAGAAACAAAAACAAAAATGAAAGTTTTAACATAGAAAAAAACACAAGCAAGACACGATGCAGTAGTGGGTGCTCACTGGCAGAAATAAAAGAACGGATAATTCATCTCCATTGAAACACCTTGTGTGCCCCCCCGCCCTCCTTGCCTCTGGCAGTCTGGAAAACCAGATTTTGGCAGCACAAAAGGCGTTGGCGGGGAAGGAAGAACATTCCAAAGTTTCTGCCAGCAGAAGATAGGCTATAGTTTCTACCATTTTTAAAAGTCCAGACAAGTTCATTAACTTCATCCAGGACTGCCTACAGCCACAACCATGAAATAATTATGCAGTACTTAAGCCTCACTATGAAACAATATAATATGGTAATAAAATTTCAAGAGCAATAATAATATATGCAAAATTCCACACAGCAGAGTTTATATGTGGCACTCCCACTCCAACACACACACACATTTTGAGCATCATTTTTATTCATTCTTCCATAAAATTAAAGTGCAAGCTACGCAGTGTTTCATTTAAACACATACAGGTCCTATTACATGGGATGTTGGTGCAAAATAATCTTAATCATACAATTCAGTCATAAATTCTGCTTTGGGAGGCAAAAAGGAGAGGATGGTACACAGGATTGTACCCCATGGTTTTCACTTCTTAGTAGTTCTAACGCTCCGAAAAGGCTTTCAATGTATAAATGGAGACTGTGCAACATAGTGGTTCCCAACCTTGAGTCCCTAGACTAAAATTCCTAGACGCCTTCACCACTAGCTGTGCTGGCTAGGGCTTCCGGGAGTTTTAATCCAAGAACAACTGGGGGGCCCATGGTTGGGAACCACTAATGTTGCAGATGGAGAGTTGTGGGATATATACGAGACACCTTTCAAGGTTTCACCTCAGTTGCAAATAATGCACAGAATTATTATTATTTTTATTTATATGCCGCATTTCTCCCAACAAGGGACCCTCCCAACAAGGGACCCTCAATTAGGGTAATGGGACAGGATCTCACCTGTATATATGCCACCTGCTACTTCCACCTTTTCCCAAAATGATGATGAAGATGGTGCATTTTGTTTTGGAAAAGAGAAGAATGCAAAGGAGAAGTGGGTATGATCTCTAGGTAGAGGTTTCCAAATACTTATATCAAATATCTGAAATATCTCCTCGGACAACGTAAGCAGTAAAAAAAATCCTACTTTACATTAGTGACAGGATGGATGAACAACATACTTAAGGTGAGGTACTAGAACTGTCTGGAAAAAAAAACCTATTGGGCAAGAATAGATTGCAGGAAGGGAAGGGTCCTGCACTCTTTTGCACTCATAAACCATTCTCGCTGTCAAATATGAAGCCATACCACCCCATTTCTATGTGTTGTCTAGTTCACTGCAGGGAAACTGCCCATAAACATTTGGTATAAAGTAAGTATAGCAAACTATGTTAAGGGAATCTTGGTCATTAGTCGCTGCTTGTCACTGCAAACAATAAAATATAAAATTTGTGTTTCACTCTTACAGGTTTATCATTTTAATAAATACACTAAATTGACTACTAAGAAATCATCATAGGAAATCACAGGAAATTTCTGTATAGAACTAAGAATGTCATCTCTAAAGACTAAGATCAACTATTTAAAGCATGAATTTTCATGAATATTCCAAGTATTTGTTTCACAGCATACTAAACTATTTCCACTATGATTGCAAATCTAGCTTCCGTTAGCATTATCTTAGCATGACTGATTCTTTAAAAATAAGTATGTGTGTTGGTGAGCACTGAACCAGCTTTTCCATAGTTCAAACATATTATTAAAGCAAATCACTACATAAGGAAAATATAAATATACTGTAAACTAAGTCTGCTACAGGTACTAGACTGCATGAAATAGAATAATAATTTGTGTCCTACCTATGGTAGTTATAACAGTGCCGGCAAAGAAGAAGGAACTTCCCAAATCCCAATGACTAACTTGATTAGGCGTGTTTCCTTTTGGATTGACTCCTGCATTTATTGCTGCCACTACTTGCTGCAAATTTAAAGAGAAATTTGTCAGTCTTCATGAAACATAAACAAGGATGTTAGAACCTTTAGTACCTTTATGAAGAGAAAAGAGTAACTTATTCAACAATAGCAGTCTAAAACACAACAAAGGAATACAGTGTTTTGTGGCGGTTCTGAAATGGATTTCAATTTTAGCAGCATCTGATCTAAGCCTGAAATACAATTAAATGCAAAATATTGGTTATTTCCACTGTTTTTAGTTATTTTTTTTTTCAATTTAATATTGGTAAGGGTTCTTAGACAGCGTTCTGTGTCTAAGTCGCACTGGCCATGTGACCACGGAAGATTGTCTTCGGACAAAACGCTGGCTCTATGGCTTGGAAATGGGGATGAGCACCGCTCCCTAGAGTCGAACACGACTGGACAAAAATTGTCAAGGGGAACCTTTACCTTTACCTTTACCTTAAGGGTTCAAGTGTTAGAATGTTAAATTGTGTTGTGAGGTTCACTGCATTGATTGCTGCTGCTAGACAGGGGAAGCTCATCATTTTCTGTAACATTTACAGAAGACTCTTATGGAATGTTTTCACATTCTTTCCATTCCTAACTGAGAGCCATCACTTGTGACACATCATCTATTATAAAATATAACAGCTACTTTCAGGCAGAAACTGAGAGATCTATCAACATGGTTTCTTATCAATTGCCTTTTGCAAGTCCAATATAAGGATGTGGGTACTATATTCTACCTGGAAACCTCAATCTGGAAACTAAATTCTACCTAGAAACTATATCTTTGACAGAAAGGCTCTTTGAAAGGGACATACAATTCACTAGAAAGCCACCAGATGATAAATGAATGAGCTATACCTGACACACTGTAAATTGGGCCCAGTGGTGTCCTTCCACTTTCAACATTCTTTGATGTAGTGATGGCTTTTGTCAATGGTGGTGGTGGTGGCCTTAACCAATTCACCTTCCCTTTGAACTCCTTAAAATCTGCTCCAGGAACTTGAGGAGCCCTTAATGGTTGTGCAAACAGAAAAAACTGGCAAAACAACGAACAAAACCTCCAAACCCCCTATTTCTTCATTTCACTTATATAAGGCTCTACTACATAAGAGAACTAGAAAGGCATCACTGGTAATAATCCAATATCTACTTAGATTTAGCTGTTTAGGAAAAGCCAATTATCTAGGAGTCAAAGCAAACCACTGAAGTTACACTCTAGTAAATCCCTGCTGAAATTAGGATAGAAGCTGCCTTTCTTGTTTCCCACACCTTGAAGTTAGCAAATCACAGAAACATAGTTGCAGAATTTTGTACTAGTTTTCGGGCAACGACTAGTGTAAAGAGGAAACATTTTGTTCCATACAAAACTGTAGATTGAAACTAGAAAATTTGTATAAGGCACTCCAACTGGACAGGAGATTCTCCTCCATGAAACAGACTAACATTTGGAATGCTGGCACTGAAAATATCATCTCTAGTAAGCTGTGTCCCAGTTATGATTCTATAGATGAACCATGACTTTTGGTGGTGACATGGCCAATAACATTCATTGCATACCAGATTTTGTTTATGTCCTGGCTTCATGATTACTCTTAATAAAACAACACATTAGTGCAACCTATCTTGCAACAGCAAGAAATCTATTACCCTTACATGTCAGGATATTTATCACTTGCTTCCAGAGAAAGCATCTACATTTTACAATGATTCAGGTACATGCTTAAGATTTCAATGTTCTATGCAGCTGTGACATACAACAGACTAAGATTTCAATGTTTGAAGCAGCTGTGACATACAGCAAACTATGTTGTTGCTAACATACGCCGCAAAATTAAATTATTTTGAATAGTGTTGGAAATTAAACACTATGGATAGAATCCTGTTTGGTTTTGCAAAGTGTCAATGGCTCAGTGCTTTTTTTTCCTGATCTTTGGTTTGAATAGGGTGGAGATCATTCCATGCTTTGAATGAGGCTTTCTGCTTGCACAAGTGCTTGTTGGGTCCCCTCTTGCACAAGTGGCAGTCAGAAGAAAATCACACATAGAACACACCATTCCACATAGCTGCTGAGCAGTGAAATCAATATCTTTTCTATATGAAACATGAACAATTGTGTAACAAATGTTAACTGTTAAGATACTTCTTGAACACTTTTGTGTCACAGCTAAAATAATTATTTCTCATTCTCAAGTGGGGCAGAGAGACAGTATCTTCCATTAGTTCGCTGACATCCATTTTATAAAACTATATCACAAAAAAAGAAGTATTTGTATTTTGATCCTGATGTAAACCTTCTGTCTTTTGAGCCCAAATCTTGGGGTCGAAAAGGTTCTATACAGTTCTCTAACTCTGACAGCCGAATTTTAAGGAACCTTTCTTCAAACAACATTTAAAGTTGAACTCTTGACCCCTAAAACATTTAAAGTACATTCATATCAGGCAGCAATGAGTTGCAGCCATCTATTTGGACATAAGAAAGGTTATTTCATTAAAGCTTGGGTTCCACTTAAAAAGGGGTCAACAAGAAAATATGCCATGTGCCTTTAGCCTCACATAAGATAGGCTTTCTTGCCTGTAAATGCAGAATCAGTGGTCCAGCCATTTCAGTAGTCTACCAGAATCAATAATTCAGATGGATCACACAGGGTGGATAAAAATCAACAGTGTTTTTTTTTTAAAAAAAAATGTTCTAATTTAAAAAATATTAATTGACATCATTAAAAAAATCCTTTCTAAAATTTAAATTCTGATTTTAATCAATTTTATTTAAATCAAATCCACCCTGTACTAACATTGTGCTCATAAATCAAACCTGCCTACTGAGCTTAAAATATGATATATATTCACTATCTTGTTTTAATCAAGTCTTACTATTTTTATACAAGCATGCTGGCAACCTAGCCATACGTTCCTATGAATGAGTTTCAGATATAGCAGCATAAATAAAGGTTCATACAAACAAATTCCAATCCTATTTCTGACAACCTTCCAATCTGGCATGTATATTTGCCCCTTCTTGTAGCATAAGGTCAGGAACAAGTGTTCTTCCCTATGTTCTGCTATGCTTACATGGGTATATCATAGGCTGGACCTCTTTTATAAGTCATCATTTATTAGGTGCTATCACCCTACGAGTAATTGTTATGGAGCTCCTGATATATCGCAATCATGTCATGTCATACCAAGAAGGCAAAAATCGGTACACCATAAATCAACTCAGTTTGTTCACAATTCTGTCAGGTAGGCAGAAAAAAAATATTTATTATCATCATCACTACCACTATCAGATTTCTACCCACCCTTCTTCAGAACAGTTTGAGACAGGTAACAGGTAACAGAATATGTTGCAAATGTGTGCTAAAATACAGTACAGTAAAAGCAGTGCAAGCAAGGAGCTGTCAAAAATAAATCAACTCCTTCCTTATTTCTTCGAAGTCTATATAAATATATGTTTTAACAGGCACCAGAAAGTGTCAGCAGGGGAACAATCAGATCTCTGATGGGAATTCCACCATCTGAGTGCTGCCACCAAGGAAGCGGTGCCATTTACGGCACTCTTACAAGTCTCACTACTCAAGAGCACTACAAGTACGTCTTATTCAGCTGTTTTTAAATGCCAAGTGGATGGGTCCTCAATCAGGAAGCTCTTTAGACATAAAAATACTTTATCCAACACATTGACTTTGACAATGAAACATTGTTATATTGCTTTTAATAATCATAACCGAGTCTTTGAATGCTGTTTTGTTAAGTGTTTAATCATTCAATGTATTTTAATTACTATTATAGTTTCACTTTTTTAAACATATAATTTATTGTGTTTTTAATTCTATTTTCTAAAATTATGAGCCACCTTGAGTCCTTTCACTGGGAGAAAGGTGGCCTATAAATGAGTCAAATAAATGGCTTTAACAATATGATCTCAATACACCAAAACTGATATTTATAATGCCTACTTTTGTGCAACTAAATAAGTAGATATTTGAATTCTGGTTGCTCTCAGCTTCTCTGACACATGCAAACCCCCTCACCATGTTAATGTGTGCGTTCATGAAGACATACGCTTTATAGTACACCTATAGAATAATAGTGAGTGAGGTTGAAATATAGGATACAACACAGTGCAGCTTGCACATTCATAACAAAGAGACATGCTCAGAAATAATTCCAACAGCCGAAATTTAGATTTCTGAAAAATCCAGTCAACAGGTCATCTTTAGTAAGTTTACACATTCAATGTACCCTACAAAACTATGGGAGTATATGGAGAGCTGTGTATGATAGGTGTACCACAGTTCTCCTAGACCAGTGGTTCTTAACCTTTGTTACTCGGATGCTTTTGAACTGCAACTCCCAGAAACCCCAGTCAGGACAGCTGGTGGTGAAGGCTTCTGGGAATTGCAGTCCAAAACTCCTGAGTAACCCAAGGTTAAGAACCAGTGTCCTAGACAGAAAGCACACCAAAACTTTGAGAAAGTACACAGCCAAGGCACAAAATCAATATGCATATTCCTGACAAATTTCTGTGGAGCTACTAAATGCATGCCGGTATGCCCAAGCAAGGACACATAAGGTGGTATCCTTAGTGTTCCTAAGTTCAGCCTAACTTAAGATCTGATCAGCTACTTGACTATATTGATGTGAATCTTAGCTCAGGGCACATCAAATGATGGTAGCTCTTAAAATATGGATCAGCTCTCATTCAAAGTTCATTTCTTTTACATTGCCTTATGGCTTTTTTTAAAACGTGGTTATAGGATAATATGAATTATCACCAAGCTCTAAATGGACACATTAGAAGGAAGATTTGGAATGAAGTAGCCCTGGGCTCCCTTCATAGCTCCAGAAGACTGAGAGGCTTTCCACAGCAGAGTTTCAGGTGGCGCACATCTGCTGTTGGAAGGAAAATTCGGAATGAAGTAGCCTTGGGCTCCCTTCATAGCTCCAGAAGACTGGGAGGCTTTCCACAGCAGAGTTTCAGGTGGCGCAGAGGGCTCAGGTGGAAAAGGGAGG